TCGTCAAAATAAAGACAATTCAAAATCACACGTAGAACACGAGATTTGATTTAATATGAGGTTAAGGGAATGACAAACTGTGTTTGTTTGGAAACCTATTTATGGAAACTATTCATTATATTCGCGTCCGAATTATCTTGTCTAATGGTTATTAGGAACGTAGCCGATAGGGAAGAGGGTGACCCAATAAAAGAGTGTTTTTCCAAACCTAGCCTACCTATTGTTTGACTTAATTCCATCGATATTTCAAGCGGTAATATGGGTAGTAGTTGGATGGCAGTTTCCCCTTTGAATCGCTTAGAGTAACCTTCAGAAACAAAACTGTCTAGCTACTAAAATAATTTCTTCTAATGTGGAGCTCTTTATGGGAAAATTTTGGTCGAGGGTGAGCAATTGAATATGATGTAAATACAATGTTTGTAACATCATCCCAAATAAAACAACGATTTAAGTAAAATAAATATATCAGATTTTACCTGCAGAAAAAGGCGCAGGCATTAATTATTGATCGGATTTCAGCCATGTCAATTTTCAGTGTATATTTAAGGGAGTGGTAGTATAACTAATTGTTTCGTATTATGCTTCATCCTGCTCGCTTTTCAAGCACGATAATATTAAGTTCTGTAGCGTTCAGTTCCGAAAGCGTCAACGCTATAGATAATCTTTGACCGTTGACTTGTTTTGTTTTCTTCCCCACGCGTTACTTACACATTCCGCGCGCGTTTCTGCGTGCCCTTTAAATGCAAGGCTTTGATACATTAAGCATCATTTACCTCTAAGCAAATGCAGCACTCATCGTGTCCTGAATCTGGTCGGCACTTGTGTTTACCTTGAAGCCGTTTGTCAAGACAAACGTTACACANAAGGCTTTGATACATTAAGCATCATTTACCTCTAAGCAAATGCAGCACTCATCGTGTCCTGAATCTGGTCGGCACTTGTGTTTACCTTGAAGCCGTTTGTCAAGACAAACGTTACACACGTCACAATGAAAAGATCTGTCCTTGTGAATCCTGAAATGATTGAAAGCGATATTACTCAACTAGAAGACGAATACTCAGTCTACCTCTCCTTTACTATTGCTAATACCATGTCTCTTCAGGTAACAGGTAGAAACAATACATTATACATTATTGGAATACATGGCCTAGTTCGCCAGAAGCCTTCTTGTAGCTCAGTGGTTAGAACGCCCAACCGGAAACTGGAGATCATGAGTCTGAATCCTTTGGTGAACTCAGATTTTTTTCTTTCTCTTATGCTCGTGACAAATGAACATTTTATCTTTATCAATACGTGTCTACTTACCGACAAATGCCACATTTCGTGCAGTGGTAGGGATGTTTATCTTCACCAGTGAAGTGTTTACAGATTGAGCAGAAGTATGCCGACATCTTCGTGTTACATCTGGCACAAGTCTGGGCGTCTCGGTTGATCTTTATTCAAATATTTGAGAGAATAATGTTAAAAACACACCAAACGCCTAAACAACACTACGGCTTTAATGTTAAGTAATTTAAAGTATTTCTTGCACAATTTCTTCCTTACTCTGCGTATTATAATCGTTATGAAGTCAACAGTACGTATAGGGTGAGAGGAAGCATTTCGATTAAGAAATCCATGTTTAAACAGATAATTCCAAATTTAAAGAGAAATCCAAACTTAGTCCTTTGTTAAAGCTG